CGAGCTTGAAACTACAACTAATTTTCTGACCGCATCTGCTCTTGCCAGGCCAAAAATAAATGTCGGTCGTAACATGACGATGTCATCCGTCATCTGGGTATTTCGTTGACGGGCTAAGATTGGGCGGAATCAGCTTAGATGATTTTCTTTAAGTTAGCGCTGCTTTCCACTCAATGAAAGTTGACAACAGAAGGCCGAAACTGAAATAGAAAGAAAAACAACAGTGGTGTCAATGACTTGGTCCTGAAATCCTGAGTTCTGAGTTCTGAGCCCTCAATCCTCCCCTTTTGTTTGGGCTAATGAAAGTGGACAGGGTGGAGAAGAGCTTAAGTCAATTTGAGTTTGACACAGTGAGGGGAAAAACAGCGAGGACATCTCAGGATGTCTCAGAATTTCTGGGGACAACTCGCAGGACGGCAAAGTTCAGAGATGGCCAGGCGCGTGTTTCCGCTTAAAAGTTTTCTGTTTTTCCAGTTGCTGTCGTCAGCAATTGAGGCGCCCCAAATCCTCGACAGATTGTTGTTACTGTTACTGCCTTTTTTCTGTGCGGTGGTGTTGGCTAATTGCGATTTAATGACAATGACAATTTGATAAGAGGATTTGCTGTATTGTCCATCTGCCCCGTTGTCTACGTGAAATCTACCAAAACGATCTACAATTGGATCAGCCATTTCGATGCCACACGGAAAAAAACTAACAATCAACATTGGATATACCAAGCTGATTTAAAAAAATTATATACACTTTTCTAACTATTGCTATGTTAAAAATGATTTACGTTATGATTTAAAAATTTTAATATTGAAAAAGTCTGTATAGTTTGTTTGTATTTATAATGTTGTATAGTTGCTGAGTTAGAAGGCATGTACTTTTAAAATGTTGTATTAAAAATAATACTATTATTTTTAATTTTATATTTAAAACGTATTTACAAGGATTCTACATTTTTTTTAAATTTGGTATTTGCTTTTTATGTTGTATATTTATATGTATCCACAAATTAAATGATCACTTTTTTATCATTATAAATTATAAATAGTTTAAATAAATTAGGTGTTTCTGCCATAAAAACCACAGCACTTGTTTTAAAAAGAAATCTAACAATATTGTTTTCGGTGCATTCTGGAGACAATGCAATCACATGAGCATTTTACGGGCCGGCGAACCAAAAGAAAACTGCGATAAAAAGCCAATGTCAGCAGCAGGGAAAGAAGGAGAAGAGGTCCAAGTCAAAGGCGCCTTGCCGTAGACAATGGCTGTAGAATAACTGGAAAAATTGAACATGAATTGAAATAAAAGCGATAGTAATTGAAATCGAAAAATCCGATGAGCTTGGCTGAACAAAATCATTGTCGATTTGGGGGAAAAAAGAGCTCAGTTTAAAATAAATTCGCTAAAAACATCAGTGATTTAAGTTTCTTAAAGGCTAATTCAATGATTTCTGGAAAAGTTGCAAAACTCGTTGACAGGCAATTTTAATTTAATGAAAACCGATGCCCAGAATCTGTTATGTTAAAGCTTTACACATTTGTTTTTCTTCTGTTTCAATTGAATAACCTAAAAGGTGATATTTTACACGACAATGGTATTCATTTTTGTCTTTATTTACCCAATTTTTCGGGTTTTTATTGCGGTTTGTCCTACATTTCCCTTTAGATTCAAATGTTGTTTCACTTTGATGTGGGTAGCAGTAGCAGCCGCATATATTTATAATTATTATTGGCATTTTCAAGGGGCCAATTCCGACCCTTTTTATGTGGCCTTATGATAACGGTTGAATGGCGGCCTTCTTGTCAAATGAGTTTTGATAAAAGCACCGAATAAAAACCGAAAATTTGTCCAGCCCGCAAAAACTTTTCGCCCGTCACTTTGCGCGCTTTCAATTAAGGCGACAAATGTGTGACTTTATGGTGTATATACTGTAGGTATATAGGGAATATTTCCTTTTTGCAAAGTCTGCTTTTTTTTTATTTGTTCGTTTTCGCATGCTACGTGACTTGCCAAGGAAAGTCAATGACTTTCGCAGACTCCCAAGTGGCTTTGTTATGTCCGTTCTAAAATCCCACTTTAAAGACCAACTCTCGAATCAATTAATATGTTTCATGGCCATGAAAGTGCCGTTTGGCGATAAGCCCGCTTCGCTCCATGTGGCCACTGAAAGCTGGCGATACAAACTGCTTCAATTTTAATGTCCTCAAACTGTCATAAACTGTAAATGCACAGTGAAAGCCATAAGTATAAGGAGGGGCGCCGCTGAGGGAGATTCCATCGTATAGTTGGGCAAGAAACCGAAGCTGTCAGAACAGAAATTTAAGTTCGGGAAGCTCTCAAAACTATCTTACACTCAGAATGATTTGGTTCACAAGAAATATAAAAAAAATTTCAAATTTTCAATACTTAAACTTTTTTAGAAATATGACTGAAAATTGTATGCATCTTTAAAAGTGATTGTTTATTTCCCGCATTTTTTTTCAGGCAGAATGATAAAGGTTCGATTAAAATTCTTTTCTGACTCTAAACTCAACAAATGTCTTTTGAGGCCCTTAGATAGTATTTCAAAAACCGCTTGTGTTATCTTAAATAACCTAGTTCGTCATCATTCAGACACTCTTAAAAAAAATTTAAATTCAGTGGTGATTTGAACTGCTTGTTTTAGGTTAATTGCTGAAGAAATCGGTAGAGTTTTTAAGCCACTAAGAAATATGGCTGAAAAAATAAAAACAATTTATTTATTTAACCTTTCAGAACCCCTTAAAAGTGATTCGAAAACAATGGTGGTTTGAACTCTACTTTTAAGGTTCAATGCTTTAACCTCTTGTTTTTGTTTTGTTGAACAAGTTTTCAGGCGCCGCTAAGCATTTAAGCCAGAACAAAAGGCAGTTTTTTTTGGCCAAGTGCAAAAATGTCCCGCAGGCTGAGAGCGAGTCAGACCAAAAGCCAAAATTCGCCACATATGATACACATGGCCACACGAGAACACGTATACGTATGGTGTAGTATAGTCATGCACATGAATAACCCGTTGGCACGACATATCATCGCCCATTCTGCTGGCTTAAATCTCTTGGGTTGGCTGTGGAATGGGCGTGGCAGGGCGCCTGCAGCTTTCATTAGTTCAATGTCAATGTTTTGTTGTTGTGCTGTTACTGGTACTGGAAAACTGGCGACAACACATTTGTCTGGTTTGGATTTTTTAATATTAAGCGCATGTTGCTGGCCTCCAAGTCCCCTCTTATTTTGCACCTGTTTCACTGTCTCACCTTTGCCAACTGTCTAGTGTGCTGATTAAATGAGTACAAGCTGCAGGTGTCCCGCATTAGGACTTCCCGCTGCTCCTTCGGGGCAAAAAAGGAATGCAAATTAAAATTGGTATCTCTACCCATCGGTCTCCGGTCCTCCAATGTTCCGGATGTGCTGTGTAAACAGCAAATTGAATGAGGTGAGCAAAGCAATCGATATCCGGACGGCGAAGGAGAAATCTTTAAGTTCCTTCAAGTCTTGATATCCAATTTCCTTTTTCCATGAAACCAACCGCAACACGTGCCCGTGGTTTCGTGGCACTTAAAAAAAACTTTGGGCGTATATAACACAGGTATATAAAGTAATTAAGCAAATTTATCTAAATAAAGGATAACAAAATTAAAACAATGTTGTAACCACGTTTATTGGCTGAATAATAACATTATTTAACTTTAGATTTGTTGAACTCTAGATGTAAGAAAAATTAACTAAAATTAAAAATTAACAAAAGCTATTCGAATTTTCATTTGAAGTACTTATTAATTATAGGTACGGTTAAATGCTTGCAAATAAAATATTAAGTAAAATGTAATACTTTATTTATTTTTCTTAATTTGCCTAAAGGAGGCACTTAATAAAAACGTTGAGCAATATATTACACATGGATAACAAAATTGGAATAAATTTGTAACCTATTTCGAGAGTGTTTTAATAGATAAATAACTAATAAGAAAATATATGACAAACAATCAATTGTATCATAAGTAAATAAGTTTAAGTTGCAAAATCATTTGAGTAGATTTTTTTAAGTGCATGCTCGAAATTAAGTGCACTTACCATATCACAAACATAGAAATTAGGCTAAAAGTACGCATATTGCCGGCAGCCAATAATCCTGGGGCACTTACGTAATTCGAAATGTGTTCGGCGGCTGTTTTTCGCTAGGGCAACAGTCGTAGTCGAATGCTAACTTTATTAATTACGCGCCCCAATGACCAGTACCGACCATCGTCCAAAAACTTTTGCTGCTTACTATTTTCCCTAAATTGAGTTTCGCCCCAGCCATCGTTGTATGGTATGCAATTTACACCAGCAGCGGAAATCAAACAAAAGTTTTTCAAATTAAAAATTCAACAGATTTCATTCGGAATATCAACAGCCTCAGCACGTTGGCAATAGCACGAATCAAATCAATAAAAAAAAGCCAGGAAAACATTGATTGCCTGGCAAAACTGAAATAGCCAATAAAATTCATAACGATTTTTATAACAACCAAAAAAAAAAAAGAAACACAATAACACTTAATCCACTTGTACGTTGTTGTTTATGACATAATATGGCCAAGTTGAAATGAAAGCTCTGAACGATTTAATATTACTTTTTAGCATTACTTCAGATCAAGTTTTTAGAAGTAAAGCTGTAAATAAATTAATGTATTTTTTCTAAGTCTAAAAAATGTCTTTGTATTAAACATTTGCAATGAAAAGGTAAATATAAAAGTTGAGTAGGAAATTGTTTATTAAATAAGTTACAAAAGCCCTAAGAAAATATTCCGTGGTATCTTCTAAATTCTTAAAAGATGCCTAAACTGAAGTCAACTCATCCTTTTTAACATCATCTATAAATTAATATAGTTCAACATTAAATGCATTAAAGTAAATATATGTTAAAATATAATGTGTTTAACCACACTAGTGTTAATGTGACCCTACCAAAAACTTTGTTAATATAATGACCCAACACTAGAGACCCCAAGTCAAATGTCAATTACATGAATTATTCAGCAAAATCTTCTTAAAAAAAACATTGGGGCAGAAAAGTAATCCCAAAAGTGAAAATAACCTTAGAAGAGAACTGAAAAATGTCAATTGATCCACAAACGATTAAAAACTCAACAAACCAAGCTGAAAACTGCGAAGAGAACGAATTCCTAGCTAAATTTGGACTGCTGGCAACAACGAAGTAATATATATTTTTATATATAACAGTTCTAAATAAATAAATAACTACATTACATTTCTGGATTTCATTTTAGGATGACTGAGATACGCCAACATCAGCTGAAAAAACAAAAAAAAATGGAGCCTGACTCTGGAGATGATGAGTTATTTGTGAAGGGTCCTGATTTTGGCAAGCTGAAGAGGATTGTAAAGGAACCAGTAAATCAGCGGAAGACAAAAAAGAAATTTTCGCGTAAAAACAATGTGGCTTCTTCGGACGATAGCGAAGAAGACGAAGAGATGGAGCAGACCATTAATTTTAAAACTTACTCCATGCCCGGCAAAAGGTACGTAAACTTAGCAAGTAAGTTTCTATAAAAGGTATATTTAATCTTTGTTGTGATAAAAAAACAAATTTTCATTCAAGTTCTTAGTCTATACGCTACTTCTAGCTAAAATGTTATTTATTTGATTACAAAAGGTTAACATAATTGAACAGTGATAATAATGAGAAAAAATACATAAATTTAATAACGTATAAATAAGGTAAGGCTTAAAATTCAAACTACCAAAATGACTTTCAAAACAAAAAAAACCAAAATAAAATTTTGACTTGATCTATTTATATGGAAAAGTTTGGGTTATGAAGCTCTAAATTATGTTAAAAAAATGTTTTTAAGAAAAATAAATAGTCTTTATTTATTAGTAACAATATTATAAAGTAAAATTAATAAAATTCTAGGAATCAATGTATTGCTAGGATTTGAATAAAAACTTTTTAATGCCTTGTCTAAAATATCCTTCAGGCTGTACAACTTTCTGAGCCAACTGAGCTCTCATCGCTGGATTTGGTGTGAGTTCGTGGAATCCTTTCTGGACAAACCCATTCTGGCTGGAGCCTACGACATAGAGCGCTTCATAAGTGAGTGCTGTCCGCTGTTGGGAACCCGTTTTCTGCCCCGCAGAGGATGGCAGTTACTACGCCGCAATATGGGAAAAGCCCGGCGATTTTCCACTGCTTTCATTGAACAAGAGCGTTCTGAATTGGAGCGTACTCGACGAATTGTACGGGAATTGCAGCAGTATCGCTTTAATTCCGAGGAGGATGGTCTCTACTTGGACCAGATACCCAAACGAATTCCTCTGCCACTGGCCACCGATGCCAAGGTCACCAGTTTGCTGTTAGGAGACTTCCACAAGGGCATCATCGACGGCTGTGTCATGGACTACGATCCGCAGGGCTCCACCTACATCGTTCGCTTCATCAAGGAAGGCAAATCGGCAGCTTTCAGTATCCAGGACTCGCGACTCTATTCCGAGCAGGATTCCACGGCCCTGCCATTATCCATTATGATGAACGGCACCAAATCTGATGCGGTTCAAAAGGATTTTGACAAAACTGGTAAAATAAATGTTTATATTTATTATAGAACTTGTCTTTAGGTTATTTTAAATATGAAAACCTATACTATTTCTCAAATATTTCAATTAACTATTTTAGGAATAACACAGCAATTTAAACCACAAATATGATTGTTTTTCATCCATTGCTCATTTTGGTTATTTTAAATATGAAAGAATTTCATTTTTTTTATTTTTTTAATTTGACTGTTTTTTTGATTTGATATCAATAAATTAAATTAAATTAAATAAATTAAATTAAAATTTAATATAAATTTAGATCATGTTATTGATTGAGCTTCATTTACTAGCGTTGTTGCTTATTGTGTTAAAATATGGAAATATTAAAATTGTTTGTAAAATAAAATATTTGATTATCAAATTACTAAAAAAATGTATTTATTTTAATTTTTTTTTTACTATTAAGTTACTGAAAATGTATTTGTTTTATTATAAATTGCGTTATTTTATTGTTTTAAATATTAAATTATATTTTGTAAATTTTTTACTTCACCATTTCCGAAATTGATTTAATTATCTAAAAATATGTTATAAATTTCACCCATATAACTGATTGAGCTTTAGTTATTGTGTTAAAAATAAGGAAAAAGTAAATTTTTTTGAAATATTTAACCAGGCAATTTAAAATAAATAGGAAACATAACATTTATGATTCAATATCTACATATTCATTTTTACTATTTCACTTAAATTTTTTATCAGCAAAAAGTGAGATGTTCGGTAACAAGCGATATAGCAGAGAGCTATTGGAATCCGTGCTGCAGGTCAAGAAATTGATGGATGCCAAGGAGAAAACAGTGATTGATATAGCCCAAATGAATGAGGACTTCGACGGAAATTCTTCGGGCAATCGTCGTGATGCCAAGATGACTTCACAGAGGGAGAAACTCCACCGTCGCTATGCAGCCAATATGATAACCCTGCATCGTGTGAACTCCGATGTCCTGGAACCGTTGCACATCCTTCACGACCACTTGGCCGAGTATCAAAAACAGGAGGAGGAACAGGAGGTCAATGGCGGTCGTCCTGCCAGCGAGGTTTACCAAAAGTGTCGCCTGCAGGCGGAAATGGATCTCAAATTGGCCGCAAGTGAGAAATCCCTTAAAATTGAATCGGATCGCACCAGGGAGTTCATTTGTAATCTTCATACCATACTATATCTCAATGGGAGATTGGGTCGCGAGAATAGCTCCGATATGGAAGTGGTCCTGGCCGACCTGAAGTCCCACATGGTGGCAAATATGCCACCATTTCTGGCACAACAATTCCAGGATGCCTTGGATTCTCTGGATCCCCTGCGTCAGGAAGTGGTGACCATTTTCAAGGCCCTCAAAAAACCAGAGCGCTTTCAAATCACCCAACAGGCTCCACTGCAAGCAGAGAATGGTATTTACAATTTTGTGGTCGAGGCCCAGCCGGATCCTCATTGTTAAACAAAACAAACCCAAGATACCTGAAGTAAAGCTTCGCTTTTATTTATGACTCTATTAGTTGGAGTGTCATGTGCATGGGGAGTTTGTCGGCAAAGTAGCTTAACGAAGTTTTCTCCTCGCCCCACAAAGTTGCAACAATGTGTAGCATGTAATATTTTCGCATTTATATCGATGGAAGGGCACGTCTTACTCCAATTTCTCTAGGAAGTCCTTCTTAAACTACTTACAACTTTCCATCGGCACGTCGCTGATGAAGTCAGGCGTAAAACAGTTGACAAATTGGCAAGCAAATAAGTAATGCGTATGTGGAACAAAACCATTAAAGGAAAACACTTTGAAAATTACTGTAGTATATTTAAAAGGTTCCAAACTCAAGTTAAAATTAAATAAACAATTCCTATTTTAAACTTTAATAAGTCATTTTTTTTTGATTGATTAATCATTAATTTCTACAATTACTATAATAATTATTTCTTTACGTTAAGAACAGATTTCGAAACTAAAACAAAGTCAAAAGCATGTTGTAAAAAGTATACTTGAAAAATTTTTGATATAACGTAGGCCTACAAAAATAGGTATACAAAAATTGTATCATTGAAAAAAAGTTAAAGTTCACTTTAAAACATTGTAGAATCAAGCTTAGGGCTTCTTGTATTTCTTTAAATTTATTTTATTTTTTTTATTAAATTATTAGTTCTCTAACGTATATATTTAGTACCAGCACGTTAATAGTAGAACTAAAAGCCTCAACAAAAAATGGGTGTTCTAATTTGCTTTTTTGTGAGCCAAATTTCGTACTGCAAAATTGCAACCACATAAATCAGCATTCAAAGTGTTTCCATTTTTTAATTACTCGATGGATGCACTACGCTCATAAATTGTGTGGGTAAGCCAGTTCCAGCGAGGAATTTGCCAACGCCCATGTGGCCGCCATAAAGACATCATTAATGTGCCTCCGGCTGCACTGCGTCCTCTTTTTTGACCGCCGGGAAGAAAAATGATCGGAAAAGGAGCTGAGGTCCTGCGGGAGTGGACTCTGGCCATTTGGCTCTCAGATGTGCCGTCATCGGGCAAAAAAGCTAAGATATCCGTATTCTCCATGGAATCCCTCCCAGCAGACGGCTCGTAAATACTTATAATGCGTTCAAGCTGCAGGGGCGGCGACTACTACTATAAATTTATGGAGTGCGGAATGCTTAGTGGTACACAATTGTGTATACAATTGTGGTAAATGGTTTAGTTTTACTTCTTATAAAATTAACTGGAATAACAAATTGAATATGAAAACTAAACTTGGGCCTAAAAAACATTTTCTATTAGTAATAGTGGTAAGGAACTAAAAAGTTATGACAAGACTTTTAAATATTTTTTGTAGCACATCAGTAAAATTTGTGAAATTAAAAAATGCACACTTATTAAATTTTGCAAAATTAGAATGCACATTTAAAATAAGAAAAGCAAGCACACTTTACAAACTTATGATTTTTTATTAAACAACTACCACCCTTATAATGTTGACCACTAATGTAAGTATATAATTTAATGACATTTTGATTTAGAGCTTAGCTTGATTAATGTATTCGAAATATGTATCTATTTTTAACATCGAAATATCAAGGGAAACTTTAAGTACACAACTGGAAAAATGGTCAGACTTGGTAGTTTGCCATCAAGGAAAAACAAACTTAACAAATGGCAGCAAATAAATGTTGGCTGGTCAACTTTATCCAGTCAAGTACCCGCCATGTGGGCCCGAGTTGGCGAAGTTTTGCTACGCGTGCTAAATGAAATTCAATACGCCGACTTACATAATGCATTCGAGATGACTAAAGTTTTTTGTTTTCTGTTGACACTTGATCATTAATTATATTTGCTCGTGGCGGGGCATCGTTTATATGGAATTGAATCAATACATAACAACGTTTAAGTGGCAACATATACAGCTTGTACATATACATATAGTCGCATATCCACATGCCAGCAAAGCAATCGTATAAAAGCGGCAGCCTAATTGATTAACGACTTGGAAAGGCTGCGGATGTGGGATGGCTTAATCCAAATACCAAGGAAAAACTGTTGCCTCAAGCCGCTCAATTTACTTTATTAAATTGTCATCTATAGTTGGCTTTTGCTTCCGAGCCAAAAATTTGGGTCAGCAAGTGCCTGCCCGCTGATTAGAAAGCCCCCGGCGTGGCAGTGGGCGTGGCACGTTGGCAGAACTCATACTTTTTGTCTTGTTTTTGTTTTTTGTTGCCAAGGGCTAAGCATTTATCGCTGCACGTTTTGGGAAGTATCTCTAACATTGGTTTCTCTAAAAGTAAATAATAAGGATTCAGATACCCTTTAAAATTAAAAATAAAAGCAAATCTAAAATCTAAAATCTCTTTTTCTTTTCTTTGAAAACATTTTCCTTTTGAAACCTAAAAAATTAAAAATTAAAACCAGGTTTCTGGTTTTGTAAAAGACATCAATGTCTTAACAACTATAACAATCATTTTGTAAACAACAAATAGTCAAATTTGTTTTAGAATATCAACTTAAAGTCCTGTGAGAGATGTAAATAATTTTTCGTCAACAATTTTTGAATATTTTATTGCGAGTCCTAACACATCAACAAAATTTGCTCATGCCAAAAAGACAATTCTGAAAGCCTAAGGAAATGCCTTGAACTTTTGTATAAAACTCTGAGGAGCTCCCAGTGAACATAAACCAATTTGATTGCTGCTTTTTAGAACATAACTCTGAGTGTTGTTAAATGGCCCCCTAAATGTGGCACATAAATATTCATATTAAATGAGCCAAGTGCATATCGAATGAATGAAATGAATTTCAAGTAGACGGTCTTAAATGTTTTTGTAGCATACTTTTTTGGGTGTATTGAATTTAATCAGTTTATTGTCATTAAAGTATAATAGGTTTATTTCGATATTGATGGGCACCAATTTCTGTCGGTTACATAATATATATAAAATTAGTATTCCCTCTCTTGGGAAATGTAAGGGCATGTGTAAGATTTGGGTAAGAGCTGTAAGTGAAGCTTTCTCTACGCCTGTAAATCAATGCGCGGCAGTCTGAAACTCTACTCCAAAAGCACTGAAAAAATTTAAATGCTTAGAAATATTAAATAGTATAATTTAAACTTTGGTGTAAATTTAGAATGACATAAAAAGGTATTATTAAAAAAAACATGTATGTTATTAAAGGCTTATGTATCCAAAAATTATATCTATTAAAAAGATTAAAGATTATTTTAAACAATTAAGACAATTCTTAAGAAATATTATATACAATATTTTTTTGTTTTAAATTTTTTTGTTAATTTTTTTTTTCTAGAAGATTATTTTAAAAAAATGTTACTAATTATATGAATACAATATTCTGATCTCTAGGAATGATAAAGTATTTGGTACTTGAATTTCTTACTTCTTAAATTTCTTAGTGTATTTCTGTTTGTTTTTTTACACATGTGTGCGTTTGTGCCAAATGATTTATGAAACGGGCAGCAGTTTGCGGCGGCAGCGGGCTTCTAGGGGTCAGGGGTCAGCGGGACACGAAATGCAAATGTTGCAACAAAAGCGAAATGAAAGCGAAAACAAACAGAAACACAAACGCCAAAGTAACTGTAAACAGTGCAAAATATTATGTGTGGGTGAAATGTGTGTGGTGAAATGGAAAAAAGAAAAAACAAAACAAAAGCACAGCCGGTGGCATTCATTCCATAAAGCGGAAATAATGGCTTAAGTTTGGTTACGCTTCTGCTTACGTTATAAATTACAATGATTGACGTCGCGTGTTGCGGACGCCGCAACTTTAATTATGCCTGAAATATGTGCGACTATTTATTTTGAGCGTTGAGCCGTGAATCGATACTGGGAAAATATTTAACTTGGGGCTGAAAACCCAACCCTGCCAAACACACACACGTAGATATCGCCTTTTCACAGAATCAGGCTTTCAGAGTAGCACAAAAACCGAGAGCAATTAGGAGGCATCATGGCAGAGCTGTTCCCTACATTTTTTGTGGAAGGCCAGTGGGTTGTGACACATATGGCTGTCAGTAATTGGAACCGAATAGGCCAAAGAAATCCTATGCAAAATTCATAAGGAAAAACTGCATTGATTTTACACAGAAAGATTTACAGAACTATACACTTATACACTTTCATCGCTTCTGTAAAAGTGTGATCAACAAATGGCTATACTTAAATAATTAAAATAATTCAATTAAACTATTATTTTCCATCAGATATTAGCCAGTTTTAAAAACTAAATACCATAATTTTTGTTATATCATTAAACAAAAAGAAATTAACTTTAACTAATTAAATTCAAAATGCATTAAGAAAAAACACATTTTTTAAAGCAGCATTTTCCAATCTTTTCTCTCATTGTTTTATATATATAAATATTTAAAGAATTACAAGTACTAAATTAAAAAGTAGCTTCCATTAGATATAAAAATTATTTATAAAATTTAATCCCATAAATTTTTATTTGTTTAGCAGCAGCATTTTGATAAGTATATTTAACAAATGGCTAAATAGAAATATGAAAAGAATTTAAACTGCTAAATTAAGCCTAATTTCCACCCAGTATAGAGATAATTTCCAAATTTAAATATCGTATCTTCCAATTTATCTCCAATTAAATTGAAATGCCAGCACTAAAGCATTCATTAAATCTAAATCACTTTATGTTTATTTTCTTCTCTCGAATATTGTTAAATGGCATACACTTTAGCTGACTAAGATTCATTTAAGAAGTGAACAAACATCATGGCCTGCACATTCGATAGCCTTGCACACAGATTCACAATCTTACCCCAAGTTTATTTATTCATCTGCCAAATGTTTTGGCCTTGGGCTCAATTTGCTATCTGCAGTACATAAAAATATATATACTCGTACATTTTCATGTTTGCCGGCTGTCAAATCTTGGATCTCACAAATTAATTTTTCGGGGGCACTTTTGACACAAATTATAATGTGTTGTAATTTGGTTTAATGCACGCACAGTGAAACCTAAAACCGTCGTCACACAAAAGTCCTTGATTGCCGCCCCGAAGGCTTTTACTGTGGCATTGCTCATACGCAGGCCAGGACCATGGTCGACTGGCCCTCACTTTAAGCCACTGGTTTGCCATTTACAATTAAATGCAACTGAATGTGGTACACAGATTGCCATTTAGTTGACTTTGTATTCAAGCGGCCGATTGCAGTTAATATAATTAATAGCGCATTCAAGGTGGTGTAAAATTTATTCTGCAGAGTTAATGAAATCAAAACTTAATAATTACACAATTTAATGTGATTAGAGTTAAGAGGCCAATTGCATTAAAAATATATTAAAAATAATTTAAATTGGCGGACCATGGAGGCCAACAATATTATTTATTAAGAAGATAAATTAATAATTCCGTTCAATTTGACGAGAATGGTATTAAAATGAAGTATTTTCATTTGGAGCTCTAACAAACTGTTAGAGTTAAAATGTTTAAATTAATTGAAGTCTGAGTCGAATTTATTAAGCTTATGTAGTTTAGTTTAGCTAAAAATAATTTCAATTACCGGAGAAAGGAGGATTAAAATACTTTTAATTAGGCAACTAAATTAATAATTCACATCAATTTGACAAAAATGGACGAACAAAGTAGTATTTAAATAAGAAGAATAAATATATAAAATTGAATTCAGTAAAATTTAGTTTTAAAGTTATTATTCTTTGTTGATTTAATGAAGACAAAAAATATGTCTTTTCAAGGTATAGAAGATATAATAGTTAAAAGGTAAGTTAATAATGTATGAAATAATTGTGATTAAATATTTAAAAAAATTATTTAAATTGAGCAAAGAATGTGTTCTATAGAACACTATTAATAAGACAGGTTTATAGATTTTCAAGCAGAAAAATCAACTCACTTTTCGCATTTTCCGGATGCAGAGCAATGAAGGACATGCTGAAGTATTCCCCACGTCTGCAGCAATTTTGCCTTGCAACAGGCACGTGTTTCCGTTTCTTTCATTGCACAGCAAAACCTAGGTATTATTTTTTGATTTTTTTTTCAATCTGTTATGAATAGTTCAACTCGTTGGGCGAGCGAATAATTGTCCGAAGCTTTTATGGAATCTCCATGGCAGTGGCATGTGCCTCGTATTTATGATTTTCCCCATCCTCTTTGTTCTAGTGACTTACTTGTGAAACCAGCAAAACGTTTCACTTCTGCTTAGTACTCGTAAGCTGCTGAAATGCAACAGAAATCATTCGAGACGAGGTTTCTGGTTTCCCAAGTCTGTCCATCACTACCCACTCAAAAGAGATTAGACTGGGATCAAGTTCGAGGCCTATTGGGGGTATATGGGTTGGAATAAAAATATTACAGGTAGTTAAAAACATTTGGGCATGAACTTATGCTAAAAGAAAGCATTTTTTTCGAATTTGCTTATTTTAAGTTATTAAATTTTGAAACATTAGTTACAATTAAGCTTAATTCATATCTTTAATAAAGATAGTAATTAGTAATTGCTTAGACGAATCCCATTTAATTTTTATTGTTCTCACTTTAATAAAATAATTGAAGTTCAGTGCAACTTAATAAAAATTTCTTCCCGTTGAATTTCCCGCAGGATGAAATCGCCTCAAGTGTTCCAACGAAAATCGAAAGAGCCCAGAGGCTTTGAAAAGTGGCAGCTATGCCTGCAAGCAGCCATCCATTCTGGACAAATAATTGCGCCTCTTGACCCAGCTGATGATGCTATCTGTGGATGATTTATTCGGTGATAGGGGATAATTTAAAGTTTCCCCATTGCCTGCTGCTAGAGGTTTCTCGTTTTTTAACTTTAATTTGATTTAAGCAACTGTCGATGGCCCGAAGTGTTAGTTGAACCCACAGGCCAAGCTTGATTAGCATATAAATCAAGTGGATTTGATCTTATTCTTTATTTCTGGGCTGCCCGTCTCGAGGTATTAATTAGGGAAAACCTTCAGAGGCCCCAGGGTTCGGAAAATTAACTTGGCCCTGTAAACTTAATAAAAAAGTTTTGGTTTTGCTTCGTTTTTCCTTTATTTTTGGCGCAGGGGTTGCTGCTTGGAACCAAAAAAAAAAAAAAAACCAAAGAAAAAGTTCACCAAACTTTGTGCTTTAAATTTCATTTGTTACTGTTGCTCTCGATGTCTGGCCATTGGAATTTGACTGTTTTTGTTTTTCCTTTTGGTTCGGAAAATGCATTCTATCAATGTACGTTTTTAGTCCGATACTCGAATAAATTGGGATCTAGGCAAATGGAAAAATCCCAAGCGTTTTCCACTTGAGCAAATTGAGTAGGCTTCGTGTGCAATTGCCCACTTACCCGAAAACTCCTGCCCAGGTAAAACAGCAAAACATAAACATTTGTGTACAAACAATTTGGGCGGACTTGTGTTTCACGAAAAACTAAAACAGTACTGTTGTTGTTGTTGTTTATAAGTTTTGCAGTACAAGACAAAATTTTACAAAGTGTTGGTGGAAATTAAAAGTAGATTCCTATAAAAATTAAGGGAAAACCTTCTTATTTGCAAATTAAAAATAAAAGAAATGTTTGTTTAATCAGATTATATTTAACATATTAACTCAATCGTACTTTTGAGTTGGGTCTCATAATATCTTTAAAACTTTTGCCAATTAAACAAGTTTATGCTACTTATTAAAAGAACATTCTTAATAAAAATTAAAATGAAGGCCTCCGTATTTTCTTTCACTCGCTAATTAATCCCACAAAATTTGTTCGCCCAGCTCATCATGTAAACTCTTCCTTATTTGCCAGCGGAAATTTGAAAAATCACGTTTGTTGGCCGGGTGGAAAGCACAAAACTCGCTCGTTAGCTTGTGATTTACCCCTCAGGTAGTTTAGCCATAAATTCCGCCACAATTTGAGCTCGTTTGCCAATTTGCGTTGCTTTTTTTAAAGCCGGGATGGAGAAATGGAAATGGAAAGTGGGTCCTCCGCACTTAAGACCGGCGGCCATTCAACACCGAGCGTTCAAGGAGCTGTGCAGAAATCCGTTAAATGCTCACAGTCCCGCGGCCAAATTGTTGCCGTCCGGGAAAAGAGATTTAATGAATTTATGTCAAGGTGCGCCGGAATCCGGGATTCTGGCTCCGACTTCGCCTTTGCATTTGGCCGGACAAGTGTCGGATTTGGGCGCTCCTCGACAGGCGCTCCTCGAAGGCGACAACGTTATCAACATTAAAGCCGAATGCCATTTTAATTGGCGCAACGGGACAGCGCAGCTGTCAGCCGGGGCTGTGCACTGAAAAAAATTCAATATTTATATTTAATTAAAACTTCGTATCGGGAAAAGTGTCATTTTACAGCTCGGCTTTACGAGAGTTAAGATTTCCAAAAACTAGTTAAACATAACATTTAAAAAGCTTAAAAGCTTAAATTACAAGCTTAATTTAATAAAATATTTAATAAACAAACATATTTAAGAATGACTTTTACGTAATTCAACTCAAATATTATCTTAACATCATATTTATCATATACCTTTATTATTTCAATAGTAAGATTTAAAGAAATAACTATTTTTCTATACAATATTTGAATTTCTTTTTTATTGAATAATAAAACCTTTTTCTATATTTTTAGCAAAAATACTTCAATTTAAACTTCAGGCGTTTCAGTTCTGTATTTTGAAATTTCAGAAAGAAGACAATTTTAATTTGGATCTGTTTGAATAGTAATTTTATTATTGTGTCTGGATGAAAAGGCGGCAACTTGTCGCCACCAGTAGAAGTGGCTCCCCTGGGAGGGTGGACCGGAAAAGTGGGTGGCAGCCAGTGGGTGGTCATGCCCACTCGACCCCAAACAGCCCAAGGAACCTACCCCTGAATTCACCGCTTGACTTGGCCTTCGCTCATTGCGCACAATTAAAAGTTGTCCGCGACGTTTGCCACGCCACAAATCCAAAGAACTTGGTCCTTGAGCGATCTATCCGTGCCCTTACTTTCCAAAATAACAAATGTGCAAAGTTTAGTGAATTAAATGCGTCGCCGATGACATTTTCCCGGCACCGAGTTTTTCCAGTCAGCCGGTCAAAAAGTTTTATTTGATTCCGACAGTGGCGCATCCAAAACTAATCTAGTTGCGTTTTGGGTTACCTATTCTTATTCAACTAGTTAAAGCTTCTCGGGTTAATGCTATCATATCTTAAAAGCAAGTCTGAGTTACTGCTCCTTTCATACAATATAATAACAATTTTAAGCCACTTAAACTTATTGTTTCTTTATTGTACTTATTGAGAATTAAACGTTATATGTATTACTTCAGATATCAATATTAAAAGAAAATTAATTATTTTGCAACATTTTTTTTAAGATTAATATGCCTAACCTTATCCATATAGCTTGTAATTTTAATAATTTTTTTTATTTAAGTGAAAAATGATAAACCTCTTTTAATATAATATGAATAAAATTGTTTTTTTTATTAATAGGCTGTCAAAAATTACAGTCTGGTAATTTGTCATAAAAACTGCAAACGAATTCAATCTTAAATTTGCCAAATTCAATTTATTTTTTATCTCCAATTTTTACCTAATTAATAAAGTTGTATTATCTTTAGAAAAATTATTACACAATAATGAAATCATTTGTTGTAAGCAATGCACAAAGAATAACAGCATTTCATTAAATGTATTCTAGCTCAGATTGCCTTGTTTTCATAGTCAATTTATATTCAATAAAGACCAATTTCAATCAATAATCTCCACCAGAATTAAACATGAATTTGGCTCTAAATAGGAGTGTCCAGAAGGGCGGCTGTCAGGTTCTGGGCCTTAACAGGTACAGTATACAACAGTGGCTGAAGACCATTGATACCATCGTTTTCGATGGCGATGGTGTCCTGTGGAAGAACGATGAGGTCCTTGATAAAGCGCCAGAGACCTTCAATGCCCTTCGAGCAATGGGAAAAGATGCTTATATTTGCAGCAATAGCTCGGTCAAATCGGTGGCGGGAATTTGTAAGAAGGCCCAGGAAATGGGATTTTTGGTGGCTAAGAATGAGATCCTATCTTCGGGCCAGACCTTAGCGCGATTCATGAAGGAGAAAAAATTTAAGAAGAAAGTGTATGTGGTGGGAGGCCAGGGAATCATCGATGAACTCAAATTGGTGGGCATTGAATCCTTGCCCTTGGATCATCCTTCTTTACAAGGATTCTCAATGCCAGAGCATGTACACACCATCTTTTTGGATCCCAATGTGGGCGCTGTGGTGGTAGGAAATGATAAGGATTTCAATATGATCAAGTTGACCAAGGCCTGTTGCTATCTCAAGGATCCCGAGGTCATGTTTGTGGCCACAAATCGCGATTCGGCCTTTCCGGCATCTCCTGGCAGAATGATTCCCCGTGCCGGAGTCATGGTCTCAGCCATTCAGGCTGCCAGTCAAAGAATGCCTTTCACCTGCGGAAAACCCAATCCGTACATGTGCATCGATCTAATGCGTCAGGGGGCTATTCAACCGGAAAGGACTTTGATAATCGGAGATACGTGAGTTTGACACGGGAGAATATCATATTTTTAATTGACAGCTATGCTATGTTATGACAAAATACAAATTTGATTGTTATTAAAATATTATAGTGAATTTAATTTAATTCTCAGTTTAAAAATGTATTATACATTTAAATTTAACAAATATATAATGAATATTTTTAAAATTTTGTTTTCATTTACATTACTATGTTTACTATACTGTAAAAAGGTACAATTTATTTGAATTATATCATATGTTCTTTTAATGGCATCAATCTTTGAAATTTGTTAATAAAATATATTAATTTAAATAACATGCTAAGGTTGAAAATAAACAGAAAAATAAATATTGCGTTGTATATAATTTTAATTTTATATCAATATTTTATTTTATATTTTCTTGACAGAATGAATACGGATATTCTTTTCGGCTACAATTGTGGCTTTCAAACTTTGATGGTGGGCACTGGGGTCAGCAGCTATCTGGATGCCATCGAGGCCCAGGCATCTAAGGTTCCATTTCTATATCAGCAAGTTCCCGATCTATATGTGCCAAAACTGTCCAATCTGTTGCCCTTTCTGTCCTCTCGAAATAGATAAGTTGTATTTAAAAGTGCCATTGTTAATTGGATACTGAATAAAGTCTAATGTTTAAACTAACACACTTTGTTTCTTAAGAAGACCCATAACTTTTTTTGCCCCACAAAAAAATGTGAATCAAAATGTGAATCAAAGTTTCCCGTGTTTTTTACTCAACTTTCATAGTGGAAAACACAAGTTCCGATTGGTGAGCTATGTTCAAGCAAACCTGCTCCGACCTGACCAAGTTGCCGAAGCAACGGGTTCGCCAGTGGCTGTCGTCCTTTGAGTCCGTGATCTGCGATGCGGACGGAGTCCTTTGGCACTTTGCGAAGGAAATCGAGGGGGCGGTGGAGACGTATAATCACTTAAAATCTACCGGTCGAAATACCTTTATTGCGACGAACAATTCGGAGACTTCGCGAAAGGATGTGGTCAATAAGGCTAAGAGTTTTGGCATTCAGATCGAGGAGGAAAGTGTTCTGACTTCGTCATACTCATGTGCCAATTTCCTGGCTACCAAGAAGTTCCAGAAGAAAGCGTTCGTCATGGGCGAGAATGGGATTCATTATGAGCTGGAAAATCTGGGCATTTGTTCGGCCAAAGTTTCGGAGACTCTGGAGAGACCCATTCATGAGTTCGTGGCCGATCTGAAACTGGATCCAGATGTGGGGGCAGTGGTTGTGGGTCGCGATGAGGGCTTCAACATGGCCAAGGTGGTGCGTGCCGGCACTTATCTGCTAAATCCGAGCATACTATTCCTGGGCACTTGCCTGGATGCCGCCTATCCCATTGGCAATAATCGAGTGATTGTCGGCGCCGCAGCCACCTTGGCGGCGGTGAAAGCTTTCACTGGTCGAAAGCCACTGGTGCTGGGAAAACCCAATCCCTGGATGGCGGCTTCACTTTTGCACTCCGGTGTCATCAAGCCGGAGACCACCTTGATGGTGGGAGACACGTGAGTGATTCTTAAAAAAACATAAGTTTAGTTACACCATCACCCTTAAGCTAAAAATTACATATTTTTGTACTGTTTCTAGCATTACTTTAAACAGGTATAAAGTGTTATGTTTATGATTACAAATCTTAAATCTCCTGCTTGACATTAACGAAGAAGTACACTCCTTTCCTTCTTGTCAGTGATTAAAAATATATAATTATAATATTTTACCAATATAAATATAATATTATCTCCGACTAAAAATCTCAAGTCGTAACAAGCAGGTTTGGATTGAAAGCTAAGAACAACTTTTCAAAGAAAGTGTTTCATTAGTATCTCTTTCCCATCGAAGCCTGTTCTTTGTAATGTATATTTTTGGTATCCACCTAATTTTATACCCCCCTGATTAGACTTGAGACCGATATTCGGTTCTCGGCGAACTGCAAGTTTCAATCCCTGATGGTCGGCAGTGGTGTTAACAGCCTGAAGGATGTGCAGAAGATCGTCGAGGAGGGCGACCCTAAAAAGATGGACCTGGTGCCGGATACCTATCTGCCAAGTTTTGGCCACTTGATGGAGTTCCTCGGCTAGACCCCGCATACAAATTGTAAATTATCATTGGCCAACGGCTTCTTCATAAAATCAATACCACCAATGCGGCCTGCTTTCAATGTCAGCATCAAATCTGGGCCCTTTTGTGAGGGTTTTGGGTTTTGGTCCCTTGTCAAAAGTCGCACACTTGCAGTCCCAACAACACGAATACGGAAAAAATCCACGGTGGTGTTCGTCACTTCATCGCCATCGTCGTCGAGCATGACCGACAGATGCGGTCTGGGCTGCCACTCCTCATCCCCATGAATCTCTTCTTTTCAGAATGTGCACTAAAATAAAAGGCATACCAAAGGGTAAAAAATTTTAGGAAAAATTCCTATTATTATAATAATTATATAAACAGATAATTAATTTAATTGGTAACTTATGTGCTTTTTTAATTTATAATTTTTGTTGAGGTAGCATCAGAAAAAAGTTATGTCATTTATTGTTAACATATTCATGAATTGAATAACATTTTCATTATATAAACAGATTTAAAATTAGGCGTTGTGCAATAATAACAAAGTTTCTCATACGACAGGTAACGTCAGATAGAATACAATTTTTGTTCAAAGACAACCGTGCGTATGAGTGATACTCTTGAAATCCATTGGGCACAGCCCAATGTATGTTGTTTGCAAATTTTTTTGAGTGTACCTTATCCAAACTGGCAGTCGAAATGGCTGCCATGGACACGCCTCTGGTGTGTTTAAAACGGTTTTCGCCGTCAGACATTTCTGAAGCCGCATATAAAATATATACGGCCCACAAAATGTGTGGCATACTTAGCGGCGTCGCCAAGTGTGTTTTCACAATCTGTTGTCCTTTTCCTCCTTGGTCCTCAGTCCTTCGTCCTTTCTGCGAGGTCGCGATAGGTGTCAGTTCAGCATGTTTCCAAGTTATTGAATGTCACAATTTGTAAATATTGTCTATTTATATTCGTCCATTTGTGTGTTTCCAGCTGTTCTTTGTGATTCAATGGGAAAATAATGTGCGAGTCAAGTGGGCTTTGTATTTCCTATGGTGCTGGATTTCTTGGATTTCTTCGAATTTAATGCTGGGGATTAAGGATTGTTAAGGATTGCATGTTTTTCTTTCATTTATTTACAATTTTTCAGTGATTTTTATGAGACAGATTTTTAACATCCAGTTAGGGGTAAACTTAATATTTCGCTAAATAATTCGATTAAAACCTTTTTGCTGTAGCTACAACATTTCATATGCTGTTTGATATCTTATTTTTGAAAACTGAAAGTTTCTAGCTAAAAGTTTTTTCCAATTAAATGACTATTAACTATAACACCAATGCACATACGAAAGAGTATTTTTTATTTACAAACTTGAATAAATTTAATAGAAAAAAAGAAATTAAGCTTCTGCAAATTTGCTTGAAATATTATATATAACCCTAATGGTATTAAGCAACAGGAACCAAAAAATAATTATAATTTAAGTATTTTACTATTAAGAAAAAATAAACTTAAAAAAAAAAATAATAATAATTAGTTTTTCTTTTGAAATGGTTACATTACTCAATCATATACACTGTTGGTAAGTCTGTAATGTATATTCGATTGTTATTTTTTTGTTGTCGTTGCTTTTATTGTCATTTCGAAATGTTGGGCCTTGTTAATAGAGCAGTGTTTGTTTTCTGTTTGTGGCATCTGCCCATCCAATTGTCAACTATCCTGTGAAGGGAAGAGATAGCGTTGCCCTGTAATTGAGGGCCGTTCAAAGCTAATTATTCGAGTGTTTTTGCTCAACAGAGACATACAGATGCACTGCAAAAAATGTTCTGGAAAAAAAAGTATGTTGTAAAAGCATAGAAAATTTTAAACGTTTTTTTAAGTTTTTTTAAGTTTTTACAGCATGCTAAAAACAATAAATATTAAGGTTGCTTGGATAACTTGTTTAATTTTAAATAACAAAAATTTAATATTAATTAACAAAATTTTAATTTTTATAATTCCTAGGTTATTTTTGATTAACAATAAGTTTCCTAATAGTTTCGTTTTATTTTTTTGACATAGATGATTTCTCTATATATATATCACTTCGTCAGTAGACAACAATGATTTTCTTCAGATTTAAATGGAATTCCAGCATAAACATTGAATAATAAACATTCTAAACGCATATTTTTTTTCTCAGCTTACAAAGAGTGGGTGGGCTTGAAAAAAAAGTTCGAAATGAAGCGAAGTTTCCGTGGCTGGGTTCACTTGGCACTAACGTTCAGATCACGAGTGTGGATAGCTGTCAGAGGACGCCTCCGGCACCCCACGTCATTGTCATTCCGGCGGATGAAGTGGGGCCCGGGGAATTTAGTTGTGTATTAAATGGAGAACAAGTGCTCCTTGTTACGCGGCATCATCACAATGTCCCGATGTTTGGCATTGTTTGCCATTGTCTCCGGCAAAAAAGCTGTGCGAAGTTTTGGATTGCAACTTGGGTTGGAATTCCGGCGAATCACTATGGCCAACATGGCCACCATTAATTAAATTTTTGACGCTACACAGCTTCGAGGCTCCGATGGACAAAAGGCGTCTAATTAATTAGCAAACAGCGTGACAGGGTCAACACTTTGTCATCGATGATGCTTTGCCAAAAGTCGCAAAAAGCCAAAAACTGTTTGTCGTTTGTCAAAGACTCAATCCAAGGACCGTCTAAATGATAATCCTTGTAGCATCAAAAACGCATCAAACGAAACTGTCTTGGGCAGCGGCACAAATATTTACTTAGGGTCAGAGGGACCTTGGTGTTGACATTATCCGGGACTGATTTATTATCGCCCAGCGTGGTGACACTTCAGTGCCGGCGGGAACAATAGAGTTCGCCAGCTGCCTTTGTTTTATTTGGGCACCGACAAACATATTCAAATCGCTAAGCCCAAGGCATTAAAGTATTTCATGAGGTTTGTCAGGCTCCCCCAGATATGCATACCTTAAATTAAGTGCTTACCTTTGGGGTACTTACCAAGGAGGAAGTGAAATATGAGCTGAAGTGCTAACCACGGCTTGCGATTACTTATCAGTTAATATTGATTAATAACTCTGCAAGATATTGTAATTTATTGTTTTAAATTTCATTGACTAAGCCACGTTTAAAAACCAAATTACAGTAAAATTGATATTTAAGATGGCAATTCCGTAATAAAATATGTAAGTAGATAAAATTCAATTATTAATTAAGGTGCTAACTCAATCGTTCCTATAAAATTACAGTTTTTAAATTATATGGATTTAGTTATTTGTCTGATCTAGGTTTCTTTAATTTCCTTATTTAATTTGAAACTAATTATTAATTTCATATAACTTCAGTGTAATTATTTCGTTCTTAATTGGCAAAAAACAATACTATCAATCATGGTTAATATTTTCCAGCAAATAAATTGTTATTTTTCTCAATTAGTAAGTTCCTAAAACAGAGCAGCAAACCTTTCATGTGGGGTTATTAAAACCATACATTACTGGCACACAAACATGTTTGTGGATGACAGTTTCAGGAAACACGCAATAATATCCAGTTAAAATGGGCTGTGCTTTTGTTGGTTCCCCTTGTTCCAATTATTTGCTTTTATCTTAGATCGGTATATATCCCCATTATTAGCCTGGGGCTCACGTGCGGACCGTAATTCACTCTGGCAGGTTGCCTCTTTCCAGTTTCTACACTGACAAAAAAAATTATTGAGCTGATATTGAATTTAAAATGTTATGTTACATGTTTAAAAAATATACAAACTCATCATATCAAATTAAATGCCTTTTAAATTGTATTATTTTTTCGGTCGAAAATATCTCGTTTAAAAAATAAACATTCTAGTTTAAGTAATTTTTTTCGTTAAAAAAATAATAATTAAATTGTGATATTTATTATGTGACTTACAATATATTTATATGGTGCTTTTTTGCAGTGCAGATGACAGCTCGCCACCTGGGCAATTCGACCTTGCCATTGCCGCCCCCTTTGGTGCGTGTGTGTGTGTTTGCTTGTATCTTATTGTTATGGTTATTATTATTTAAATTCCTTTGTGGAGCTGTGGAACATTATTACCGGCTTCTCGGCTGTCTTGACTTAAGTCGACATCCTGCCAACGTGCTTAGCATAAGATACGCAAATGCGCAAGGACCTCCAGCTCCTTTACCCACTCTTGAATCTCGACGAGTTTAGATTTAGCTAGGACCGAGATTTCCCTTCATCGGCCTGCCACTGCGATGGCAATTATCCGACAGGACCCGGCCAAATTGAATTGCAAGTGGCCGCCTTAAGTGCTCGTTATCATTTTCCAAACTGCGTCTGGCTAGTAAACTTTGCCTATTACGGCGGCGGTGGTAATTGCGGTGCAAAATGTGAAAATCTGAAAATCAATGCAAATCAGGCCCGCAAAGTTTGCTAAATTATTCGCACACTAAAAGCATTTGGGATTTCTCATCATCATTTATTTGCACAATCGCTTGAAATTATTCATATTAGTTTTCGATTACGTATTTGCTATGACTTTACAATAGACTAGACTAGATCTAAATAAACTTAAGGTAAATTTTTATTAGGAAATGGGGATACTTAAGCAATTCTTTGAGTAGATTGATGGGCGATATTAAAGGTAATTATTTTGTGTACTTCAGTTTAAAAATTTTAAATTTTTGAAAAATAATGGTCTAAAAACAAAATGAGAATAGCAACCAAAATTATAAGCACTTAATTAATAAACAAGATAAAACAAGAGTTATTTGAAGTTGGACATTTTTCATTATACTAACTTTATCAGGATTTCTTAAATATGTTTTTTATTTTTTATTTTATCATCCATCAAACTCCTCTATAGAATATTTTAAGATCCCCTTTCCTGGATTTCAGTAATCTGAATTGAAAGCTAAATTTCATATCTTTGGTTTTCGTTTATGCTTTGCATACTTGCTAAATTATAAATATTTACAGAACTCTTAAATGTATTTACACAATAGCGTGGGTGGATTATATTTTTTTGTTTGAGGACCAAGGAGCAGTACAAATAATTCTTTTGTGAACACCTGAAAATGTCTTTTTCTTTTTGTTGTTTATTATTGTTTCACTTGCTGTTAAATTGAGCTACTTGAGTTTTTTGGGTTACTAAATAATGCTGGCGAAAATTTTGAGCTGACTGAACTTTGAGCGGCATTTTTAAAACTTTCTGACAAGTTGACAGATTGCCGTGGCCCTCTTGTTTTCGGACCCCAAGGAACCCAAGTTTCCGGGAAAGTGTGAGGAAAATCGAAAAGTTTAGGCAACCCAAATCAGCCAAAGAAAAGGAAAATCATTCATCAAGTTCGACCAAGAAATGCGTTGTAAAATGTATTTAATTAAAGACAGCCGAAGTATTCGCTAATAAATAAAACTTGGGTCAAAGGAAAGTGAAACGGCATTGGATTCGAAAAGTTTCAATGACTAATTTACTGCGAAATTGATACAAATTCAATCGTTTGAACAAGAGAAAATGAAAGGAAAAAGTCAGTAAAGAGCAATATTAAGTTTTCAGTCTAAGAAACTAGTTTTCTTCAACCTGATCTGATTAATGGCAAAACTAACCGACTTAATATCTATATCAACGATTAAAGTTTTGGAGGAGTAGTAGAGAGAAGTTGCGGAAGGAAACACTTAACGCTTATCACAAAGTAACGCAACGCTTAGAGCGCTTAGTTTATGCCTTCTGTACAGTAAATATATTGTATTTACAACTGCGGTCAAAATATTAGCACTGTCTTTGGGTATTAATTAACATTTTTGCGAACTATTATTTAAAATTGCCTTTTTGGTAGACTTAGAAAATATAAAGTAAAGGACGAAATTTTCTATAATCTTCTCTAAATATTTTGAAAAGTAAAAATTCTATTAAATTTTCTAAATTTATAAATTTAAATCTATTATAATTTTTGGGAAAGTAAATTTTCTTAATATAATAATAATATAATATAAAAAATCGAAAACAATTATATAATATACTAGCATTAGTGCTTAGATGTCCAAATAGAAATAAATAGCAAACGTTTTAGCCAAATAAAAGTATGTTTTTTTGAACAGTCGTGTGAAAATCATTTATTCTTTAAAATCTTTTTTAAAATCTTTCAGTAACAATTGGACAATTAGCCAATTTAAGAAATTTCAAAATGTTGTATAAGGAACATTATATAAAATTGTTTTCTTTTGTAAATAATCGCTTGCAAAATATATAATTTTTTAAATATTAAAAAAAAATGGGAGCCACATTTTTAGGTAAGCTATCCCTGCTAATATTTTGACCACAGCTGTCGTTTGCGCTATTCTTATTTACAAGACTAGTGGACTAAGCTAACCCCTTTCTCTTGCGCCTCCCTCCTCGACTTTCCTCAGAATCCGGAGGAGACATGTCCCAGTTTCTTGTTGTCCGGCAGCGTCCAGTCGTAGCCAATGGAGGTATTGTTATTGGTGGATGAATTCGTGGTGGACGCGGATCTCTGCATTTCGCGGGCTGGAAAGTAAACTACTGGACCCGGCGATGGAGCCCGATTCCGCTTGATCTTGACCAGACCTGGTGAGCCCGACACTTGGGTGAGTCGGACATTATTCAGCGAATTATTGACAACGCCACCAACGCAGGTGTTGGGTCCTCCTCCTCCGCCGCCTCCGGTGGCCACCAAATACGTGGTGGTGGTACTCCGCTGGGTGCCGTGCCTCGAAAAGCGGCCGGAGGATCGGTGGTTCAGCGTACCATCGCCGTTGTTCGATATGGAGCTCTCGTAGTGGATGAGATCCGGCTGGTCACGACTCAGGCGGCGCTTGAAAAAAATGAGTAAAAAAATGCGCTTGAACTTTTCGCCGAATATAATGTATATCAAGAAGTTCACACTGCTATTGATTGTGATCAATAGATTTGAGATTTTCGTAATCTTATGATCGATGGTGCTGTAGAAGGCCTCGGATATATTGAGAACCAGTGGCAGAAAGTTCAGCATGAAGAAAACTATCACCACACAGAGCAGCATGGTGGCCAAACCGATCTCCCTCCGCTCCGATCTCGATAATCGCTGTCGTTCCCTGTTCGCCCTCTTCACTTGTCTGTATATCAAACAATTTAGTATGGCCAAGGTGAGAAAGGGTATTATATAGTTCACTATGAGGTAACACCAGTGTATGTAGATATTTATATAGGCCTCCGATCTCCTCAATCTCGAGGGTCTCACGCAGTGGAGTATGACATCTGTGCCCGGTTCGGGATACGTTACTGTCAGCACCTCCCAAAATCGTGGCATATTGTAGGCCAACGAGAAGCACACACACACTATAAAGTAGATCTTGGCTCGGCCATAAGTACAGAGGGCCCTCGCCTTTAAGGGATGACAAACGGCCACATATCGTTCCAGGGTCACCGTGAATGTCATATATATACTGGCTGTCTGGGCTATCATGCCAATGGGAAATACAGCCGGGGATATAAAAGGATACACATAGTTGTAGTAGCCAAAAAGATGTCCGGTGTAAGGATATATAGAGGGTATGCCGAATAGCAGTATTGAGGTGATTATAAGTACAGTATCGCAGCGGGCCAGGCCAGTGAGCAGATAGTTAATACTCGATCTCATCTGGGGTCTGGAGAGGATTATCATGGATATTATGTTGCCCAGGATGCCGAGGATTCCGACGATATTTATGAGAACGCCGCACACCCAGAACTCAATGCGATTGTTTTCCAGCGAAGGATTGTAGACATCCTCGCAGATACGCGTCCAATTTGGGTCCGGATCCAGACCCAAGTCCTCGTAGTGCGGATATTGCAGATCTGTTTGCACCTCCGTATGGTTGAGCAGGATGTGCAAGCTGGGCTGGTTGGTGTGGTTCTGGGGAAATAGATCGTATCGTATTGTAGGTCCCTCCGAGGTGGCCACCACGCTGGCCAGGAACTCATCCTCGCTGATGGCTCCGCCATAGTCGTAGTCCGTGGGCGGCGGTGGCATTACTCCGGGCGAGGGGAGCTCCAGGCGGAGGAGCAACCGGGCAACCGCTGCTCCACTCATCGCTGCACCACTTCTACTGGTCCACGTCCACCAATTGCCCGATTCGTAAGCCTACACGAAGAAGAAGACTTTTGGGCGTAACATTTGGGTAGGCGAGGGGAAACTTTTGCTCGAACATCAATTCTGCGGCCGCAGGTCGGGTACTTATTGTGGGTCTCTCTTGCCACGGGTCAGGGTTCACGAGCACCTGGTGACGATGTCCTTTGTTCCCGCTTTCGACCGGCGTCGTCGACACTTTATGCTGCAAAATAGGAAATGAAAAATGGAAGGTCGTTTAGTAAAAGCTGGTAGGTTGAACACTGAAAAATATTTTTATACAATAATATTTGACTTACATTTATTTTATTTATTTATTTAAGATTTGCATTACTCTTTTACATTTTTAATACTTTTTTGTTATATTTTGATTTGTATATTAGAGTCTAATAAAATTATTGTTTGATTACTGATTTAGGATTACCGATCCTGCTTGTTTTATTATATTGTGATCAGTGTCTTATTCGACTTTAGTATCAATAAAATATATTTTTAATTTATTTGATTTGAATGAATATACATTACATTTTACAAAATTACATCTTTTATTAATTTAAGAAATGGAAAATTGTACCGTAATAAAAGACCTAAATGCAAGTGTCGTAGAGGTAATCATATTTCCTATTAAAGTTTAAATTACCTATATATTTTTTATTATAATAAAAATTCAAAATTATATATTATTTGTTATTGAATATTATTAAGCAATTATTTTTAGTGTTTTGAGAAAGGTTACTTAGGTTATATCGATTAACAACAAGAAGCTTTTCCCCTCTTTCACCGAAAACAAACTTATTTGCTTGGCAGTTTGAGTGGAAATAAGTAAGATATATGTATGTTTACAGGGGTCCCAAAAACATTTTCTTGTGCGCATTATAAATACCGTTGGTGTCAATTGTCGTGGTCCTGTTCTTCCTTTTTAAATGGAAGCCTAATTGATGCCTGCTTTTACAGGTACAATTTGTAACAATTAGTTCTTTAATTAGAACCAAGTTAGTGCGTTTCAGAATGATTTGACCATTTATTATGCCCTTGGCTACGTCAAAAGTGTAATTTTCTTAAAATTAACTATTAGAAGAAGGCAAGGGAATATGGGTCTTTAGATCTTCCTTTGGAATATATTTCTACGACGCAAAAGGAAAATTTCAGCAAAGGTTGGCCCGTATATAATTAAAAAGAAATTAAACAGGTATATATATTGTATCAAAAATTAAAAAAAAAATAATTTTATCTTTATTTTTGTATTATAACATTATAAGTATAATAAATACATCTAAGTATTAAAATAGCACTGTAATCAGCACATGGATACTACAAAAGGCACTACGTTTATTTAAATTTTATTATCTGCCTTTTTGATAATAAAAAAATTGTCTGCTCATCAATAAAATCAGTTTGTCAATCTTGATAGTCACCTGTATCTAGGTATATAAATAGCATTTACACTAAAATAAACCACAAACTGTAATCACCATTATAAAGACTAACAGCAACTAACAGAAAATTAGTCGAAAACAGTTTTGTGTGTGGCAAAAAGGATTGCTTCTAATTGCCATTGAAATTGGATTTTGCTAATAGAGTGGTGTTTCGATTTTGATTTATATTGGCCATTATCCTTTACTGAAGGTCCTGTGTTTGTCACACTCTAATGATTTAATTCACTTTATTTGTTCTCGGCCCTTATCGAATCGTGTGGCAACAAGTGTGAGCACTAAATCATTTAAGGGTTTTCCGCTCGTTGCCACGTGTAAATATCACGAATACTCACACCTCCGCGCCCCCTTTGAATGTCACATTTTTGACACATCAATCAGGCTCAAGTGGCCAAAACCAAAAACGGACCACACACACCCACACCTCGAACCATTTGGCAAACAAACAAAGACACAGATACAAAAATAATGGGGCCAAAATACGAGCACCGACTGATAGCTCATCAAGTGGCCAAGCAAATATTGTATGTAAAACCAGATTGGTACTGGAAGAAATATATAGAAATAGCATTTAAACAAATTAAATTAACCGAAAAACGGAGAGTTTAAAAGAGAAATATAATTTTCGAGCAGCATAATTTTAGTTTGGATATTAAATACATGGTAATACAATTAATACAACAATACAACTCTAATTAAGGCAATGGTTATTTAAAAAAATATATGGTTTTGATGTTTGGGATATAAAATGCAATATAATACAATTAATAATACAATTCCAATTAAAACAAAGGCTATTTTAAAAACAAATATATAGTTTGTATTTATTGGGATATAAAAATATATAAAATTGAATAATAATTAAAACTAAGGTGTATTTTAAAAAAAATATATATTTTGTTAATGCTTAATAAAAATTCAACAAATTTTATAGCATGACTTAATTAAAAAAAAATTCTATTCAATCTTTGTATTGAAACAATTTGATTGCATTTCAATAGAACCCTAGTTTTAAAAAATTTAATTAATAAGTAAAAATACTTTTTATAGTTAATTCCCTATAATCCCTGTTTTCCTCAGTGAGCATAAATATAACTTCTGTGTGACTTGTTTCCTTGATTGCACAATGAAATCAATATATATTCCCATGCCGAATGCGATTGTGAATCAATGCTGACGTAATTTATGGCCAGGTTAGGGAAACAAAGAGGTCGGCAAATGCTCTTGATGATAATAATTATACATGTAATTGTGGCAATGGCTGTTTGTGATGTTTGTGGCTTTGCTCAGTTGACCACAAAGTGCAGAAAACCAGAATAAATGGAGGGTTAAGGGACACATGTCCAGGTCGCACGTTGCGTATGCGTGATATTTGTCGAATTTGCATTTGTTATCTGTGCGTGCAGCAGCAGTGGCAGTAGCAGCAGCAGCATTTTGATTAACAAGAAGTGTCCGCTGCAGTTGTTTGCATGTTAAGTGGTCAGCGATTTGCGGTCATTGGACTGCAGGTGTTCCATTCTACGCCCTACCACCCACAAAAGTTCAATTGTTTCGACCCTGAGGTCCTAATGCGATTATCTCAATTAGAGGCGAGAATTGAAGTGGCTTTTCGTAGCAACTGGACTGGCAATTATAAGCGCAATTATCTTTAATGCTTGTGACCCTTTTTGCCACTCTTGACGGCCTGCACGTGTCCGGTTTTAGTTGCTCTGCCTTCGTGTGACTCACACATTTACTTTTTACGGCCCTGACATTGGTAAATCGCCCACACGACCAGTCCCGAAATTGCTTTTTTCCAGCTCCGGCCAACAGAAAAAAAAAACAGAAAAAAAACCACTCGATCCTACCCAGCAATTTTTCCTCACAGCTGGCTTTATTGCGGCAGTTCTGGTATTTGGAATTCCCCACCACTTCCTTTTTTGTCACCCGGAACCAAAACAAACTGGAAAAAAAGAGGCTTTTTGGTTTCACTGCCTTTTGGTCTTTGTTACTTTGGCAGGCTTTTGTTGTTTCACATGTTCTGCGGAAAAACAACAGACATCAAAGTCTGTTTCGAGGATGATGAGTGCTTTCTAATGTCCTTTCCATATTTTTGGACTGCCTTATTAGGCGGAAAAACATAAACTAAAACTGTTTGCAATATGTTTTTAGCAGGGGGCATTTTAAATTACATTTGATTTAATTTAGTGAATAATTTATTAAAATTGTAGATAATCTTTAAAGAGCATTTTTGGTAAATCAAAAGTGTTAGACATTGATATATTTATACTTTTTTGAATATGTTTTTCGCAGGAGGCATTTTCTGTATTTGTGAGAAATTATTTTATTAGTTAAATATTTAGTCAGCCCTTCTAGGCAGACAAAAATAGGTTAATACTGTTTAAAAAGTGTTATTGGCGTAGGGCATTTACAATTAACATTTAATTTTGTTTAGATAATAATTTATTAAAATACTAGCTATATATGCTAAATTACACTGGAATTGACAATTAGACGATAATTATACACAATTCGTTCAAAAAGTATCGACCTTAGGCAAAAATCAAAATGCCTTAAAATGCTTAAATCATTGAAAAAGACTAGAATATCAAAAATATCCAAAGTTTTAACAAAAGACATTTTTGTCAGAAAATTAAATTAATTAAATTAAAACACAAATCAAAAGAAGTTAAAATGCCAAACCACTAAGTAAAACCAACAGCAATTGCCAAAACCATTAGCAATCTTCAGTTTGGGGAAACCGCTTTTTACAGCTTTCTGAATGGCTGAATGAACCATAAATACGGCTCGGATTACGAGGCTTAACCACTAAAAGCTGACTGAAATCTACATGCAAGCCATCCAAAAAAAACTTTAAGCTTTTAAACCCTTCAGAAAAATACGGAGGGCATGAGTTGTGTGAACTTTGACTGAGCCATACAGTTTGGTTCAGTTTTCCGATTTTTTTCCTAACATAACATACTTTATGAATATAGTGCTGCTGGGAATGCACCCTGTGGTGTTAATTGCACTTTCAAGTGCGCCAGCAATTAAATCAAATGTGTATAATTAAATGGAATGTTGTTTACAGACGAGAGTGTTATGGCCAAATCAATGGCAGGATAATTAGAAAAGACACGTCGCATCCTTTCACTTTTCATGTCGGACGACAGATAGTTTCAATTAATGTTTCATTCTGTGAACGGCATTAAGCTTAATTATTCAGAGAGCAATTTGCATGTGGAATGCTTCTTCGCCATCAATTCTCCTTTTTGTTTCCCCATTTTCTCTAGTTTTCCTTTGTTGGATTTTCATGAGTGCAGTTGGTTTTCGTTTTCGTGTGGAAAATCCATGTTTAGTTTGGGCTCCGGATTGTCTGGATTGTGTCATTTTCATTTGGCTGGGACTCTTGGCATCTGCCGTCCTGATTTGTTTTCCTTATTTAAGTTGTAATATAGCGAGAGTTTCTAAGTTGATTGAAGAGGAAGTGGAAGTGTTATCGATTCCTTGGCAGGTGGTGGCCATTAATTTAGGGCATAATAAATTAGAAGCCTAAATATCTTGGGCATGCATTTAATTGATCGATTTATTTTTATTTCGGAAATAGAATAATTTATCTCTAATTCATTTTATTTCTTGAAACGGTAACAAAAATGTGGTTGGCTTTCACATTAATAGAAATTCATTAAATAAAGTCTTATTTGAATTAATTTGTTTAATTTCTTGGTTTAATTTATTTAACAGTAAAATCAAAAAATGCACAAAAATGTATGTGATTAAATCACAATTAAATTGCAAATAAAAAAACAAAAATTTAAAATTTAAATCAGATTTATTAGAATTTAAAAAACCATAAAAGTCAGAAGTAAAAACTAAAATGTTTTTATGCATCGTTAATTAAAAGTAAAAACTATTAATAAGCTCACACAAAACATAAATTTTTACTAGACCCCTATAAAACGACACCTCTGCTATGGCTCAATTTCACTCTACGCCTGGCATTTTTACTAAAGTGATTTAATTAAGCAGCCTAAGTATATTAACTTATGTTTGCCTTCCACTTTTTCATTGTGATTCCATGTGCCCGCGGAATTTGCTTTACTTATAGACATATAGCTTTGGATTTAGTGTTTTCAGATGGCAAAATTTATAGAATATAGAAAGTGCTCAGCCGCATGTTGGGCATATAAAGCCAAATAAAAAATAAAACATATAAAAGTCAAAGAATCTGGTTGGCGGCACAAAATGAAAACACAAAATTATAATTATTATATTTCGCAGAGAAAGAAAGAGAGAAAAGCGAGCTCTTTGCGATTTATTTTTAGTTGACAGTTTCAAGGCTTTTGCTCTCGACGATCTGGCAGACCAAAGAACAGCAGAAAAACGCTGGGAAATAAAGAAATGCGACTTGGCCCAAACCAGCTTGGTTTTTGTGTTTGGTTGCTGCCCCGTCATTTGCATACCTGCAATTTCGGCTTTAATGAGCAAAGGTCCTGGGAGTTCCAAAAAGGAACTCGGCATTCAGCTCCCCTAATTGTCGAATTTCGCACAATTTGATTGCTCAATGGCCAGGTGCTGAATGCTCTCTGAAGAGCAAATGATTTATGCCCCAACGCGTTCGTCTTTGTTACTCTTTTTACACAGAAAAAAAGTTGTATTGAAATTTTGTTATTTATGTAAAGAAATGGCTTGTATATGCTAAATAATCCGTTATTCTTTTATCGTATTAAGGCAAATGATTTTTAAATGAATAACTTATTAAATAAAAACCATATTTAAAAGTCAACTTTCTTTACTAACAGTTCCCATTATAGTATTATAAAAATACCCTAATACCTTATTTCACTTCCGAATTATTTAAATGTTTTTTTGTATCATGAGAGTTCTAAATGCCGTTAATATTTTTTTGAGTATATTTTTAATATTTGTTTAGTATAAAAACACATTTTTTTTCTATGTAACCTCCTATTTTTCTATTTAATGACCCACGCGGTTGTATCCTTGAATTGCTGCGTTTAGGGTAAATAATCGCTGCATTGTTGGTTGCAAAGAACCACGCGTCGTATACTTAATCATTGTGACATTAAGTAGCAGCGAAGGGGGAAAAAGGGCTCAAGATCTGTTTGCTGGCAGCATTTAACCCAAGGCCAAAAAAAATCCATTGCGGCTGCTATCCATTTTTCCGCTGAGTCTGAGTTTTCCTCTCTGTGTTCTTTTTTCAGCTTGTGTGTAAATAAATTTGCAGCATTTAGTTAATTAACATGCAGTTGGTGATAAAAAATGCATGTGAATAAATTTGAATGGCGGAACCTGGGAAATATGTTTACATATAAAGTCTATTTGCTGGACAAAAAGATGTGGCATGGAAATGTACTTTTACAAGTAGCCAAGTATTTATTTAAGACCGAGGAATTCTGCCGAAAACTTTTTCATTTGCATTATTGGTGTACTTCGTTCTTCTTACTTTAATCTGTCTATCATCTTATTAGGTTTCTGCTTTTAATTAAATTATAAATCCTTAGAACTTTATACCTGCTTAAAAGCTCCTGCAAACAAAGTTTGGCAAGAAAAGCCAAAGTAGCATTAAATCAGTTTCGTAGGACAATTTAAGACACAAGTACGTTAAATTAATTTCTAATAGTTCACCTTTTATCACAGAAAATACTCAGAAACAAATGTCCTTGGAATAAAAAATGTCTTGGCTTTCGACGAAACTTTAAATTATCTTGCTGCAATTTTACTCTTTTGTCTTTCATGTTGTAATGAAAGGAAATTAAAAAATTCTTTAAGAGATTGCCTCTCGAAAAGTAAAAATACAATTTAAAGTGGAATGGAAATCTTGAATTTAAATATATGCATGTATTTTTATACCGTTTAAGTAATGGTTTGTTTTTAAATTTTCAGAGTATAATAATTTAAGAGCACATCAAACAATGGTTTAAAATTACTCACTTACTCGTATTAATAATTTAGCTTATCATGTTGATTTTCATATTTCTTTACATTAAATAATTTTTTATTGACTTTAAAGAAATCCCTTTCAACTAATTTGAATAAGAAATTAAAATAAGAATAAATATGTTTTCTCCTAAATTACATGTGGAAAAGCTTTTTGTTTTAAACTGCAAAAATATTGCTCTCACAAGGAAGTTTACACATTGTTATCAAATTGTTAAGAATAAATACACATATACATCTGACTTGTCCATCAAACAATGGCTTAGAATTATTCACTTACTCTTGCTTTTGCTTTATTCTACCATGTTGTTTTTCATATTTCTTTACATCAAACACAATTGCCTTCGCTTAGCGAAAGGTCTCGTACATTTTATAAATTTGTATATGAAATTCCAATGAAACTATGTTTTCTTCTAAATTAAAAGTGGAAGAAAAGTTTAAATAGAAAGCATATTGTCTACAATTTATTGTCTGCAAGGGAAATCGCTTGGCGAAAGTATAGCTCACATCAGAAAGTTTCCTCATTGTTAACAAATTGTAAAGAATTCGATGAGTGGCTGTGTAATATTTTGCACTGTTTGTTACACGATTACAATAAGGTACTCTTTACATGATGTTTTTCTTTTGAATTCGCATTTTATAATAAAAGCCAGAAACTGAGGAAGGCGCTTCTGAATGCAAACTCTTATGGAAATCGAGTATGTGAGACCGATTGCATCTCATGGATGACCCGTCAACGGCAGAAAGTCCTTCTGTTTTTCGCCACTCCCCAGACAATAATAAAAAATGTCTTTGTGGAATATTTTCATTCGACCGTACGCATGAGAGGTTCGCAGTGCAATAAATTAATCTTTTTAATATTCAACATGCCGCGGCTTATCGACATGGAAATCCTGGGGATTTTCCACACCCAAGGATGCTAATAAAAAAAGCCACTTGACATTTAGCTTTTTTAAGGAAAACGCATGTTTTATGACACACGCTTTTCGCTTTTGTTATTTTAATAAGCTTATTAAGACTTATTTGCTTACCTTGGGAATTTAATTTACAACTTGTGTGTGCCTGTGTGTGCAAGATATTCGCATATTCCCATTTGCATATCTTTGCGGCGACAATGTCAACAATCAATGCCAAGGGTTTTTCGGCGAGTTGGAATTAATTAAATTGGAATGAAATGATCTACAATTCGATTTTTGGGGGAGTTCTTTGGCTTAATCGATTAATTAACTAATTTGTTTTCACATTTCGCCTCAGAAGAAATTCTTCGGCAAGCTTTTTATCGATGCTGCTCACTCACACACGCCAGAATATATTTAATATATTTATTTATAAATTAGTGCGCTGCTGGCAGGCAGGCTTTCACTTGATTATATACTAAATGGTGATTATTAAAACACTTTCTCCGTTTCGCTTTGAATAAACAAAACTTGGTTTTTATTTATTTAGTGGCAAGTGCCATGTGAATATCGGTGCACTCTCACTCTCACTTTCAGTCACTCGCTCTCCCGTGCGTATGAGTGATATTTTTAAATATTTCGAAATCGAAATCGTAATCCGAACGCTTTTCCTGGCGCGAACACGTTGAAAGCTGTCTGCCAACTGTGCCACCGAATTTTCCGCTTAGTTTTTCCGGCCTGGCGACGGGCAACAATGTTGCATGTTGCCGCACCGCAGCAACACTGCTGCCGTGTAGCAATGGGCATGCGCCGCGGAAATGTTGCCAGTTTTCCTGGGGAATATTTCATTCATAAAACAAACTGGCGCCGACATTACTGCAATACAAGTTGCATGTTGCCGCAACACCGCAATAACCATTGCAGCTGCAGCCAGTGAAAGTGTCTGTCTGTCTGTCTGTCCGTCTGTCGGTCTATTTATAAGGCAGCCAAATGTCGTAAGGCGAACAATCAAGTTTTATACCCTCTATAATGACCACAACGACCCAGTTTGTGTATTTGTGCAATTGAGGAACGCCTAGACAACAACACCCGTATATAATTCGTTTACCCTCCGGAAATGCACTACGAAACGCAGATGGAAGTGTATAAATGAAATTTACTCGCTCCGTGGGTGGAAATCGCTAGAGGAAATTAATTTAATGTTTATTGTTCGGGAAGCCGAAGAGCGAGCATTGTTTTCAACGGAAGTGCGCGAAGGATAAGCCAAGTGCTTTTGGAAAGTGCCATGTCCAAATATAGCCAGTGGTTGCCAAAGTTTTTTTAGCTTTCACAAGTCATTGCCGAATTCTAATTGCATTTATAGGGCTTTGTTCCACTTTAATAAGTTTCATTAACAATCAATTAGATATAAATTCATTGAATTACATTTAAAAGTAACTCGCTATAAACAGTTATTATATTCAACATAAATTAAAAATGTTAGGACCTTTGTAAGTGATTTATGTATTTAATTAAAATAATAAAATAATTTGTCTTACATAAACATATAATATGAATGCTATTTACTTACCATTATCCTCCCACACTTATTGTATTTATATTCTATGGCTTGAAGCATTTGGCATTTTAGATAATATTAAATAGAATTTCAGTTATTTCATCCTCCTTTTTTAATAATTAAAGAAAATTAAACAAAATTTTAAATAATATTTAATCTGTTCTTTTTACTTATATATTTCTTTTGCCAATATTTTCTTTTATTCAAAGACTTTTTGTTGTGAAATCTTTAGCCAGAAATTTAATAAATTATCGCCCCACACTCACTGTATTTATTTTCTAGGGTTGAAGCTGTTAAAGTCTTCACTCTTTTATGAAAAATACTAAATTGAATTTCTGATATTTTCTCCTCGTAAATATTTCTTACTGCATTTCTTGTACATTAATTTTTTGGCTTTTCGTTGAAGCCCTCAAACTTGATCCGTTGGTGGCGTGTGCCTGAGTTTTTAGGCTTTCTCGTCGGCTTCAAAGCCATAGAACGGAGGCAAAACTTGCAAAGCTCAGTTCAGAGACAACGCGGCGGATTATGGGCTGCTGATTTATTTTCCCTTTGGGTTTTCCCTACCTTTCCTTTTTACTCCTGTCAGTGCGATGGCTTTTCCTGCGCCGAGACAGTCGGAATACATTTTTAATATTTTCATTTCCCAATAAGACGGCTGCCTGCCTGTCCGGCTGACAGATGATGTTTCCTTTCGCCCAAAAAGACAACAATTTTGCAAGAAAGAATTCGTGGGTTCTTGTGGGTGGCCATGCCAATCAATGGCATGACGCGCCAAAGAGTTTTCATTTGTTTGCCTCGCTTTTGACACTTTTAATGCCCGACGATATAAAAGTTTTCTAATAGAATCGCCGCTGACCAGCAGAACGTAACCTTTTTTGGGGGTGCTTTCAGATTAATCACCCCGACATTTCCACTTGGCTTAACCTTTATGACCCGTCCCACTGCCAACTCACTTGACTCGCACAATTACACACAAATCCAAAGAGTCCGCCAACCAATTTATTGGCATCTGACCATGGGTCAACAAAAAACAAGAAGTTTAATCTCATACGGATTCAGTGGAAGATTCATTTACGCAGTAGTGGTACACCCCCCAAAGGCGGATCTTTAAACTACACAAATAAATTGTTTCTTGGATTTTTCAGAATTAAACAAATATATAAAAATACTTATATATATATATAGATTTAAATTTAATTTTGTAAACCAGTGTAATAGGTTTCGAAGTCCCAATAAAAATGTAAAACTAAGCAGATATGTTAATACTTAAATTTGTACACCATTTTGTATGCATTATGACTAATTTTTATACACTTTGTTGACAATAGTAAGAAATTTGTGACATAATAAAATGAAAATTACTGTATAACTTAAAAACTTAAGGTTTCTTATAACAAGGAATTTCGGTACTTGCTTTAATATAATAAGAATTTAGTTGTGCTGCGTATTTAAAAGGGACTATTTCTACATCCTTCCCCGAATTCTGAAAGGACAAAATATAATTTACTCGAAAAGATTCTTACTCAATTACAAATATGTTACCTCTCCATGATAAGCTCGATGGTGCTGCTTTTAAGGATAAGCAATATAAAAACAATAATGCCAAAGCCGTCATGGAAATATTCGAAAACTAAAACAACAAACTGCCAAAACTGGTTGGGATCAATAAAAAACTGACTAAGATCCAGGATCCAAGACACTCCCATCATGGCAGAGATTCGCAGAAACTGCAAATAACTTAATTTAACATTTAAAAGCAGTTTTATATTTGTTTACAAAATTCCAAAATAAGTCTTACGTCTGAGTGTCAAAATTAAAGCAAGCTGTCGTTGCCTCCTCATTTTGAGTAAACCTCCTAATTTCTCGCTTTACTTTCCAGATGTGAATTGCTGTCAAGATAAACATTATCACATTGAAGGTGCCAAGGATTATTAATAATCCATGATAGTAGATCCAGGCGGATAACTTATCAACTGTGATTTGGTTAGATACGTTTAAGATACCTTTACCTAAAACTCACATTTCGCCGAACATGTAGTAAAACCAATTAGAGGAATCCATTTCCAGGCATTGGGATCCTTCTCCCAAATTTTGTCTATTACAAAGATGACTCCAGTTGGGATGGCAGCCAAGATCCAGACAAAAGCGCTGTATTTCGCAAACCGATATCGAGGTTCACTGCGATTGAGTGATTTGAACAATTTGTACATATGATAACTGATGACGGAGAGCCAGAGATTATAGGCCATTCTGAAGAAATATGAACTGTAACCTGCAAAAGATCAATAAATAACTTGCTTGAATATTTCATATTTAAAAAAAAATATTAAATCATAATATAAACCAAAAAAAATATTTTTTTTTATGATTTCATGTTTAAATATTTGAACTAATGTGGATAATATTTGATTTAAAATGTGTCGTATTTGGTTAAAATGCTTTAAATGGTTTTTAAATGGTTTAAATTTAAATTTAATTTTCAAATAATAAATTGGCTTTCAACAACTAACCTGCTGCTGAGCAAATGTCGTTTAATAAACCAAAATAATCCAGTATAAAAATGAGGTACACCATAAAAATGCTGAATAGGCTGCATATAATGCACTTGCCAAGGGTGTTCCGTAGCTTTTTTACGAAAAGATACACTGCGATGGTGAGCATATAGCATATCATTGAAATCACTAACACTGGAAGAAATAGTATTTAAATAATTTAATTAATATAACTATCAAACAGGTCTTACTCTCGAACGTCGCTGGTATAAGTGTTGCAATGTAGGTATGGCGAACAACCCATATATTATATGGAAAGTCCGTGAAAGACTGATACGGATAAAGGCAATAGTCGCCTTCGAACAAGTCAAATTCCAAGGAATAGAGAAGAATTGTTCCGTCCTTAAAAGATCGAATAAAATAGGCTAAAATTTGGGAAAGCAAGAGACAAACCTCTAACAATCTGTACTCATCTTTCCGCAAGCTGAGCAATTCGTCGCAAAACCGGAGTGGTTCCCTTTCCACAGCCATATCGGCAAGATTGCACTGCACTTCGTCCTCCGAAATGGATTCGAGGGTTACATTCAGGTAGGGACTGGCATGGAATATCACATCTTCCAAATCATCGTCGCAGTCTCCATTGGCCAACATATTCTTAAGGGGACAGCAGAACCGCACTGAAAAGGGAAAGTCCGCCCTTGATTGCTTGGCTATGATTATAAATAAAATGGTGTACAAAAATTCCAAGTGCAGCAGCATTTTAAAGCTAAAAAGTGAAAACCAAAATTCAACTAACTCTCGTTGCAGCAAGTTCACATATTTATAGGTTTATTTCGAAACCCAGTTGCATTTATAATGAAGAGTAGGGGAAATGCTCCGATTAATGTATTCCCTAAAGAACCATGCATCGCCAATCGCTTTTATCCCTGGGGTGGTTTTATTGTGCTAAATAAAATAAAGAACAAATTTAATATATATTTAAAATATTAAAAAAACCATTTAAAGCGCAAAAACCTTGATAAAATTCCCTTTACGCAACCGAATTTTAAAAACTTTGCGATTGTGAAAATAAAGTAGTTTGGAGCAGTAAATGGCAATCAAGGGAATAATGTTCTTTAGACAAAAATTAATAAAATATGTAAAAAATCTAAAACATATATAATATATTCAAAAATCATTTTAAGGACAAATACCTATAAAATTCCCTGTATACAAAATGGTAACTACATGTAATATTTTATTGAATTAAACATAACAACATTACATTTGTAGCTTTAGTTTGTATTATTATTATCAATTTCTTATTTAAAAGTGTTTGATTCCTAAATCATTTATATAAGTTTGGAAAAATTATTTGAACAAGAGGTTATTTTAGTGAGGAAAGTTTGATTTCTGTGTACAAATTCAACTTCCGGCCTAGTTGCCACTCCTTCCGCTTTTCCTTAGCATAAAATAAAAATAGGAAAAGCGTAAAGTTCACATATTCACAATTTGCGGAATTGCATTGCAAGATGCATATGCTGTGTGTCTGGCTTTTTGCTTATTTTCTTTGTTTCTTTTTTTTTAGGCCAAGAAAAGTGGAGCCCTTGGAAATGTCGACACTTTCCGACAGCTCGTGACAGATTCAAATTAGTTTATACCCGATTTTCCCACTTGCGATGTGATTTTGTGGACCCGAGAATGGATGCCATAACCATGTGCCACCCAAGATGAATATGGATAACTCGGGGCTTTCTTCTGCAATCTGCTTCTTGAGACAGGTTGAAATTGATTTGAAATTGACTTTCAGCCGTAAACTAAAATAAATTGACAAAGAAGTTGCAAAGAAAAAAGAATTATTTGAGAATAAATTATAGAGTGAAAATAAATTGGTTTTCGCTTGTTCATTGCTCTAAGATCTGCTATGGGATATCTCATTTGTTCAGAATTGTGTAACCCACTTTAAATTTAAAATTTTATCCATATCAAATATTAACTTTAAAGCATTAATTAATTTACTAATTTAATAAATTTAAACTAAAACTAAACATTTGCCTAAAATAAATCAGAAATAATAATTAAAGTTAATAGGTGTAAACTTAAATCAAGTAAGTGGCCACTTAATTTATTTTAAATGGCATAAATTTAAGTTTTCAACAAAGTTAATTTTTAGGTTGTTCACATAATGGCTACCATTTACATAATTCAGTGTTTTGTGCTTATGTTGCAGGTAAATTGTCCTAGATTACTTTGCTTATGTAAATGGAAGGACCCGGCCAAGAATAAATTTGTAATTTAAAGCTGAGTAGAGAAGAAGGTCATTTGACACAATCAAACTTAACTTAAGACTTAAGTCCTCCCCAATGCACTAACAATTTTTGCTGCTCGACATTGACTTAAACTGCTAAGCGGTTTGCCTTTGACCTCCTGGGAAAAGGTAGTTGATTGAACACTCCTTTCAACTTGGGTTATCAATTGACTGTTTTTTATTTATATGGTATATCCTGTGGAGCCTTGCCAAGTGCTCCATCATAGCTGGGTAGTCAGTGGAAAAGGATTGGGGACTCGGGAGTGACTCAGCCATTCCGCAGTGACCTTTCTGCATGGCTGCTTCTGGTCTGGCAGCTCCACTTGAGACCTCAAAGTAATAAATTCCCACCAAAATCAAATACAATAAAAAGTTGGCACATCAACAGAACTTGTCTCCGCAAAAAAAAAACTGACTAAAAAACCATCTGGTAGGACGCTCGACCATAATTAAATGTAAATGTCTGCATATATATATTATATATGGTATGCAATAAAGTGCCGACAATCATAAACAATAAAACAGCAAATAAATAACGCATTTGCTATTATAAATCCTCCAAGCGAGTCCGCTTTTCTTTTGTGCTGCTGCAAATGGCAACCATTTGCATAAATGAGGGTCTAAGGAGCAGCTACGTCATTGTTTGCAGTGTGTCTGAAAAGTTTTTGCCATCTCAACAACGGCGAAAAATTCAGAGGGCTCCCGTTTTAGTTTTATCTCGACGCCGCCATCGCTTCAGCTCCAGACATTAACACTAATATGCATAAACATGTCTGTAGGTATGTATAATTTTTATGTTTATTACATCCCCCAGGCGATTTTGAATATAATAAAGGCACCGACAGGAATTTGGGACCTCCAGGATACCCTGTTGGCTTTCAGGTATTTTATTTTTGCGAAGTAGCTTGGCAAGTAATTATGGAAGAGGTTAACAAGAACACTGGGCTCATTAAACCAATGTATTTTAAGGACTTGGTAAAATTTAAATTATTTCGACTTGAAACAATCTTCAGTTAAATTGTTCCCTACTTAACAACTCTTTAATGTTATTAATTTTTTTTTTAATATTTACTAGACACTCCAGAAAAAGGTAAAAATTTTTTTTAAGTTGACAATGATAGTTAGAAAAATACATATAATACTAAATTGTTAACGAAAAAATTTTAAATTATAGATGAATACACTATGTAATATAATATTCCGAAAAGCCTACTAAAATTTGAAAAAAAAATATTTTTAAAGCTTATTTTTTTGTTTTATAGTTTCGATTTTCCCCTAAAATATTTTGATAAAATCCAGCACCTTTTAAATAGTTGGTAATTTTTAAAGCAAATACTATAATTTATTACCGTTGTATTTGAATTTGTATTTTTTATAAAATATTTATAAAACAAAGCTCTTCCTAAACTAATATAACTAATACTCCATCGATACCCCGCTGTTGTTGTTGCTTTACAGGTAAGTCCGCCATGAGTGGCTCGTGGCCATGCGAATGGCGAAACGGCGCTTGACCCAGGAATTGACCCCCGGATTGACCTCGTTTGCTGGTGATGGCCAGTTGGCCTGGGCCACACGCGCCGCTCTTATCAACTCTTATCAACTGGCAAACGACAGTTTTATGATGCCCACCGCTTATCAACTGCTGCATTATTGCTGTGCGGCCCTTACTGGCCAATCAAGAAGAGCTTACTACCTTGTTGTGGGCGAATCCTTCGGGACTTTGGCAGGCCCTTCAGGCCGGAAGCGGATGTGGCTCGGCTTACCCAGCTAGAAGCGTGTCCTTTGACGGCCACCGCCGAGTTGGCCATAAATCAGCCACAAGTTTTGACGGAAATTCAAGTCATCGGGAGTCGCGCAGCGGGAAAGCCTCATGGCTCATGGCTCAAAAGGGTTTCCGCCGGCGGAAAGGGCTGAGGCTGAAATGAGCTAGGAAACTTAAGCTGCATCCCTGAAGATGGTCGGGAAAATGTATTCAGAATCAACTTTCAAGGAACTGCAATTACCAGAAGTGGCCCATAACAATTACTATGCTGTTTAGTTTAGGAGCTTCGTCAAGAATAATTCAGATGAAAGTTAATTGGTATCTTGGCTGTAAACAAGAGCGGTTTTAAACTTTGCATTAAATTGTTCTTGCTTAAGCCACTTAATAATTAAAGCATTTTATTTATATATTGAAAATTAAAAAATGAAAAAGATTTTATTTAATTCGATTTGTTTTTGATTGCGCGTTAATCATTTTACTGATTAGGAAAGAATACTTACTTTTTAACTAAAACTATACGAAAATAAAATCAATAGTTCATGACGGATTATTGAATGAAGTCATTTTTTAACCTAAATAGGCTACAATTAAATGTACAAAGTTAATCTTGTAAATTTGACAACAAAGTATTTTCTCTAAAACAGATTTTCT